GTGGTGCGTGACTGCAGTGAAGGCATTTCTCCTGGGAGTTTCTCTATCCCAGCTCTGTTTATAGGGAATATAACAATTCTGTAATTTGCATTGCTCAAATGATTCCCGACCACCTTGTCCTTTCTTTAAATCACCATCATTTTGAATAAATGTGTAATATCATGATTGGTCCAAGACTAAAAGTTAGGTTATCAATTCTACTATACCATGGTCACCCACAAATTAGATATGTCAGCCTCCCCCTGATTGACACAGTCACTACACTGCTGAAAATGAAAGACAACAGGATGAATCTATCAATCTGTCTCAGATAATAATAATAACTGTAATGATAACAACAACAATAATAATAAATCTATATTAAATCAAGTAGGATCTGTAAGAACTTGGGGAATTGTGCAGAATAGTCCCCCAAATTGTGTTTTTATTCTGGACTGTCACCATATAGATGTCAGAACACTTTTTGTGATACTCAAAAGTGATCACATAATTTTCAAGATGCTTTCTCAAAAGGCTTATTTGTCTTTGAATAACACAGTTGTCTGCCTGTTTTGGCCCTCTGCAGTCTTGTTTCATATCATGTTCTCTCATCTGCTGGGCCTGAGGGCTCTTCCAGTGGGCTTTGAAGTAGGGACACTCTGCTGTCTCCTCTCCTTAGAATGCCCCACCCTATTTTTTTCCAGGTCTGCCTCCTCTTCTCTGAGATTTCACCTCCACAGGCTTTCCTCAGAGGAGATTATTCTCACACACACACCCCCACCCCCATCCAAGGTACTTGCTCTTATAATCTTCACAACACTCATCACCAAGTGAAATTGGCTAAATCACTGTGTACTTCCTTATGATCTGCTTTATACTTCCACAAACGCAAACACATTAAATATAAATTTTGAAAGGAACTAATTCATATTAGACATATGAATTATCATCCCATATGTCTCATATGGCACTATGGGACAGTTTGAAATTAGTTTAATTAAACTACAATTGGCTAAAGCACATGCAGACTTTAGAGAATCACTAAGGCATAAATAGTACTTGGAGAAGGAATAACAAGAGAGTGCTGTTAGCTCACTAAGACTGAAGGAGAGAGAAGGTCTAGGGACACAGGCATTATCTAGTGAGGGCCCCTGGGATAGAAGGAATGGGATGTGGGCTACTATGGGAACAAAAGCCCAGGACGATTTTTGTTTTACTTGACAATACACTGCCAATAGACCTAAGGCTTCCTGGAGCCAAGGAGCAAAGTATAGAAAAGCATTAAAGTAGATCTGGGGGGTGGGCAGCAATTGAGTGTGTCTATTATATCCTCAATTCTTTTTTTTTAATTATTATTTTATTAGTTACACATGACAGTACAATGATCTTGACAATTCATACAGTTGAATCAAATGGGGTATAATTTCTCATTTTTCTGATTGTACAGGTTGCAGAATCATATTGGTCATACAGTTACCTATATACATACAACAATAATAATATAGTATAATAATAATAATATAATGTCTATTTTATTCTGCTGCCCTTCCTACCTCCCTTCCCCTCCCCTCTCCCCTCCCATCACATCTCCCTACCCAATCTAATGTGACACACTTCTTCTTCTTCTTTTTTTCTCCTCACAACATTATATGTGTATTCTGTATAACGATGAGGGTCTCCTTCCATCTTCTGTGCAATTCCCCTTCTCCTTCCTTTTCCCACCCATCTCTCTTCCCTATTTAAAGACCTAAAAAGAGCATACTACAGGGACACAGCCACATCAATGTTTATAGTAGCACAATTCACAATAGCTAGACTGTGGAACCAACCTAGATGCCCTTCAATAGATGAATGGATAAAAAAATGTGGCATTTATACACAATGGAATATTACTCAGCACTAAAAAATTACAAGATCATGACATTTTCAGGGAAATGGATGGCATTAGAGCAGATTATGCTAAGTGAAGTTAGCCAATCCCTAAAAAACAAATGCCAAATGTCTTCTCTGATATAAGAGGGGTGACTCAAAATGGGATAGGGAGGAAGAGCAGGAGAAGAAGATTATATCCTTGATTCTAATAACAAAAGGTGAATGAAATGTTTACTTTAGTACAAGGCCTGCCTGATCTGTGGTCCCATGTCTTAGTACGGCACTTTACCTCTTCATTCAAAAAATAGCTTCTGTAAAATTATATTCTAGATGATCACAGATGCTGTTTGTGATATTTTTTCCTATATAATAACGTGTTATTTTTCATCTCAAAATGGCATTCTTGGAACATTTACTGTATTTTATAAAATAATCAGACATCCATCAAGATTGAGGAACTATTGCCAAAGAAAATAAACTCTCTGCAGACTATTTTTCTTGTTATATTATTTTAAATATGTAAAACTATCTCAATCATATATGTCCATTTATATTGGCAGAAACTATGTAACAATATTTTCCCATTCTAGTTGTCTTGATTAATATATTAGAAATATCCTCAGTTAGAAGATATTCAAATCATCCCAGTATTAATTAGCTCTGTCTCCTTTTATCCAATAAATATAATTTATTTTAGAATTATATGGAATGAATTAAAGTAAGTGGCATCATATTTGTGAAATATTTATACTGTTCTAGAAAATTCATGGGTTTGTTTTCAACTGCTTTCCTATAAGTCAGCCACTGTATCTATATACAAATACCAAAAGGAAGGTAGATAGGATGGACACATGATACTAACATGAAAACTTAGTTGGCATGAAGCATTTTCTTCTGCTTCCTGCTGTCTGGTATGAAAGTACTGCAGCTCAATCCTTTGCAAAGTCCTCCTAGATCAAAACCATGTAATCTATTCTTGCTTGTTTGGTTGGTTTTCATTTTTCAATTGGTTGATAAACAAGTGGCCATGAGAGGAATAATTTCCTGAAAGAGAAATTTTCTTCCTCAGCATTTTAAAAAAGTGACATAATAAAAAATTCTCTTTTCATGTTCACTATTGTCGTCTTCCTGATTCCCCAGATTTCTACAAGTTACAAAAATGTGCAAATGTTGCATTTTATTTTTGTGGAACCGTGGTTCTTGAATGTAAGTGATGGCAGTAAGAGCATCATTGTCATCATCACATATATTCTTGCTCTTCCAAAATTTTAGTGTACTACCTTATAGTTAGTTAGGCAGCATGGTACCAAAGGAGGGCAGGGAGCAGAAGGCAGGTCACCTATCATACCCAGGGCAGATGAAGAGGGCAGGGTGGCAGGTGCCATGGGGACATCTTGACAAATTTAAAAATCACAGGGGGAAAAAAAGATCACAGGAAAAAACAGATATTCTGAAAGTGAGTTATATGTATCTACCCCCTTTGCAATTGTATCTTATTGTTTTGATCTAACTTCATCTCAGTAGATAGATTTGTTATACACTTCACTAAGCAGAAAGAAACAAGTCCATAATTCTCTCTCCCTTTCTCTCTTTCCTGCCTTCTCTCTCTTTTCTTTCTCTCTAATTTGAAATTGGGGATTTTCAAAAACAAATGAGTTAAACAAATAAAAATATTTTATATATATTTGTAGTTATTATATTTAAAATAAATTGTGTAAAGCTAGGCCTTAGTGAACAGAAGAACAAGTCAGTAAGCATATGAACATATGAATCAAACTCAGGAATTTATCTGAAATTTGCAGAAAGCATAATTCTGAAAGAAGTCACACAGATTAAGGTAGGCAGGAAAGAGACATTAAAAACTAGAGATGAAAAATCTTAGTTGTAAGATTTAGTTGGAAATAAAGCATCAGGATCTTAAGCTGGAGACAAACAGATTGAATCAAAATGGTGTCAGTATCAATTCTTGAATAAAACATCAGTAGCAAAATGAAGGCTGTCATTTTATAATTATTTCTTCCAAGTGTCAAAAGAAATTTCAGATTGCATTTAAATCTGAATTGGCTTCAAAATGGCATTTGGTAGTTGGATAGTAAGTAGAAAGTAAAGATAAAATGAGGATGCATATTTGGCTTGTGATTTCAATGCTATGTGCTCCTGTTGATACTCTTTGTCATTCATACTTGCTCCCTTAAGAAACAACACTATCAATGCCATACAGGTTGAAGGCAAAGGCTGTCCCATCTTACCCTAAAATCATTGACTGAAGATAGGAATTAGGTTTAAAATGCATTCAGTTTTGTTTTGTTTTTTTTTTTTTTTTTGGGCAAAGAATGTTGGAAGCTTTTACTTACTTCCTTATGAATAAGTGTAACTATAAATTAGTTCTAAATTTGGACACAAAAGTAGAAAATGAACATCATGTATAAATATGCATATGAACCATTAAATTTATGACTAAAAATGTAATTATGGGTAAATTCACTCGAACAGTCATTTATTTGGTCAACCAGCTGTTGAGTTCCTTCCAAATATCGGGCACTGTCCTAGGTGCTGGAGGACCTGGTGACAAAGGAGACAGAAGTCCCAGCAATTATAAAGCTTAATTATACCTAAATGAAAAATCTATTGCGAAAGTAACTGAGGGAGATGTGAAAGACAAAATATAACGTGCAAAGGAGATTATTCATGAATTTAAAAAAACTAAGTGGCATATTTATCCTAGAAAATGAAAGTGAAGAAGAAAATGGTAATCATTAGAAAGTGAACACTCAACAGAAATTGACCATGTACATTTTTTCACATGATTATGTTTACCATTTTTTAAAATAATTCTTATTTGAAATAGACACATTTGTATAAATAAAATTTAACCTAATGTTCTTAATTACATTTTAGAACTAATATGGTAGTTTTTAATAATTCCTCACTGCTGCTCTGTATCTCATTGTAGGGTTGTTTCCAAAATATATTAAATTATATCTTAAGTATTGAGCATTTAAGGTGTTTTTAAGTAACACATGATTTTTCACTAGCATAACTTTGCTAGTCAATCTACATAGAATCATTTTATTGTGGTTGCAATCTATTTTATTATGGAAAGTACAGGATTTGTGATGTTTGTCTTCTGTTACTATTTCCCCCTTAAGGCATTATTAGAACAGCTTTGCCAAACATGGATAGAGAAGTCAAAGAACAATACCAAGTTCTCATTCAAGCCAAAGATATGGGAGGACAACTAGGAGGACTGGCTGGAACAACAGTAGTCAACATCACCCTCAGTGACGTCAATGACAATCCACCTCGCTTCCCCAAAAGTATGTAATTTACCCTAACTCAAAATCTGCAGAGCCATTTGAAATTATTGATTTACAATGTCATATAATGCATTAGCAATTAAAATCATTTCCCAGACATTTTTTTTTGGTTTTAGGGAGCATAAGTCAACAGATAAAAATTGCATGACTTCAGAATTTATAATTTCAATGTAATTCACGTCCCATGTTATTTTAATAGAAAATAGAGTTAATAATTGAACAATCAAACTTATTAAATCAATGTTAACTAAAACAAAATATTTATAGTTGTTCGGGTGGGATCTTACCCTGATACATTATTAACTTAAGACGTAACACAAATATGCATAATCTGATATAAGACATCATATTTGTAACACATGTACCATCATATTTTTATTATATATTTAACATAATAATTCTGTGACTCCGTTTTTGTAATTATACACATGGAACTATTTTCATATACTTTTGTGCATAGGATAATATTGATGATATTTTATTATTTTAGTTCTGACTAGTTATGTCATTTTAGTTTTGCAATAGGTGAAAATTGCTACAGTTCCTTTTGATAATAGAATGGTTCACACCTGTATCCTCTCTATAACTCTGTGTTTCCCTTTGAAAATGAGTATTTCTCACTTGTATTTCATCTAGTTTTCTGTTACAGTATTACATTTAACACCAATCAGTACCTATTCACTTCCCAGTGCATTTTGAGGAATCATTTCTCTGTTCCTCAGAGTTAGAATATTGATGCTGAATGGTTTTAGTCATAGTTTTATAAGAAATTTGATTAAATCACCAGGTAGTTATTTGTCTAAAGAGTTTAAAAAACAAAATAATTTTTCTTTTTCCACTTCAGAAGGACAATTAGGGAGTTCATCTACTAAAATCTGTAGCACTAAGAATATTTAAATAATTGTATGTTTTATTGCTTTGGCTACATGTTTTCATATTTGAATGTTTTGTCACTTTTTTCTTTATAGTTTCAAACTATAATTTCTTCATTGATATATTTTTTATTAGTAATCAGAAAGTCTAATTGCCAAATGTTTGGAATGGCATTTAGAAATCATTATATTTTAATGCATATGTTGATTAGTCAATTGAACCATTCCACCAGGACACATATTAAAAAAAATGCCATGTGATTCATGCTAAACATACATAGTTTCTGTCAAATTAAAAAATGTATGAATTCGTTTCAAAGATAACATCAAACTTTAGAACATGGAAAGTATATAACAAAGTTTACTAGATAACATTATGAGCACTAACACAAAATTCCTTAAAGCAATATTTTTTCTTGCTTTTCTATTGAGGGAAACAGAAAAAAGAAATAAAAGGAGAAACAAATAATTAATTTGATTCTCTATCATATGATCTCATTAAAGAATATGATTCCAGTTCTAAAACTTTCCATGTTTTTCATTTCTTTTCTCCTTTAGTTCTTTCTTTTCTTATTCCTTTCTTTCTGTTTTTATTTTTTTATGTCTGCTTTAAATATGGCAAGCTGTGATAGATTATTGAGCAGTATAGATTGAGAGATTATTCTGTTTGCTTGTAAAATGTAGGATATTAAACATGGGTTCAGATTCAGGTTCTGTGTATATAAAGCATGTGGAATCAAATACGTTCTGGGAAATGTGATATTCTTATTTATATGGATGATAGTGGTGTTTCCAGGTCAGAAATTCAAAACCACTACCAGTGGAAAGAAGTCCTACTAGTGGGTAGGTGTCAGGGTTTTAGCCCCTGGTTTCCTCCTGACCTGCGGGAGAGATAGGGAAAGCATGCCCGGACCAGGAGGAGCCAAGAAAAGCAAAGCTTGACTGGCCGCTGCGCACCCAGGCGCCGGCACCCAGACCTACCTTGCCGAAGGACAATCAGACAAGCTAGGGAGACAGGTCAAAGCAGGATCTTGTTTATTGAGGAAGTACACACAGCTAATATAATGCACAGGAGCCAATCAGGATAAAGGTCAGAGGGGTGGAGTGAGTTCACGTGTACACTCTTCCCAGGGTCTGTAAGGGAAGGCATGAGCTGCCCACAGGTTGGAAGAGTCCTGCACCTATCCTGGAGGTGGTCTATTTTTTCTGTCACCACCACAGCACCACCTACTGGCTGATCGCCAGGCGCCATCCCAGCCACATGTGCGGCCCCAAGACCTGGAAGCGGGCAGCAAGTCATGCCCTACAGGTATGGGTGAAGAGTATTTTGTAGAAGTTTGGGGAATAGACCTGGAAAATAGACAGTGAAAGTCTCGATTCAAGAGAAGCTACATATAATTAGGAGACACAAATTCCATGCTTAGATCCCACTGAAACAGAAAGATAACTTTAGATCGTATGTAGGGGTAAAAGAATCTGGATAGGTCCATAGGCTTGTTGGGTATTTATTCAAGTTTCAATTTGTGTTTTTAAGGGTGATTAAATAAGAAAGTATGTGAGCGATCAGAGCATTGAAACTGTTAGAGCATTTATAAGCTGTTCCATGAACTTTATGATTACTGTCTTATTTTCTTTCTTACAATAACATTATTAGATTAATATTTATCACTTTGCCTATAAAGAAGATGGACCCTTAGAGAGATAAATACTCAGTTATCAACAATGAATTGAAGTTACAAGTTTTTAAACTCTGAAGTTCACAATTCTTCTAATTTAACATGATATTAAAAATAAAAGCTATGGTTTTCTTTATATGCCACTCTAAAACAACATTATTTTAAATGCACCTCTAAAAAATCATAACATATATTAAAATGTCTATACTCATCAAGAGAAAAATGAGAAGGCAATAGAAAATTACCTAGCAGATCACTGTGATCAAATTATTTTATGATTGTATTACATGCACATTTGAACCACTGTCTGGCATTATAATAAGTGGGAGCTATTGTTGAATTATTTGAAAGAAGAAGGTTTTCACGTTTTGCATGAATAAAAAATTAGTCCAACTGCCTGAAGTTTTACATGTCTTTGTGTCAAAACCTTTTTAGTGTAACATCATTTTGAATTACATTCTTCAGAGGAAAAGACAGAATACATTTATACACAGTAAAACCATTTCTTTCGAGGCCAGTGCTCATTTACCAGAAACATTTCTCATATGAAGCAATTAAACAGCAAATGTGACATAAAATTATGAACTGAAGTGATATCTATTTGAATGTTAATGTCAAGAAAACATGTATTTCCTACATAAATAACTTAAAGGAGAATTCCCCAGACGAGCTATATTTGCTCATGACTCTTAAGCAGTTATGATAAAAAATCTTGCTTCAGATGAATTTGACATACTTTTTCCATTGCTTAAACATGCACAACATAATTTCTTAGAATTTACTTATCACAGTGCTTTATGGCAATGTGTATATTTATATGCATGTATGACTTATTAAGCCCCCATTTGCATCAATTTTCTTCTATAAAAGGAGATGGGAAAACATAAATGGCAAATGTATTTGTATAAAACTTATGGAAATAGTTTGTCATTTTACTGTTGATTTAAAATTGATTGCCCCAGGATTTTACAACTTTTCTCAGTCTGATGATGATGTTGACAACTATGGTATTGACTAATAAATTACTATGTTTCACACAACATAGAAATTGTTGTGTGACAATGATTTGGATGTTCCTTCTCACTTAACTCTTATAATGACTCAGTTTCAGAAATAAAATTGCAATGCTATATTGTTTAAAAAGTAAAAGAGATTCATCCAGGAACTCCATTTTTAAATCAACTCTCTCTCTAGAGTGGAAATTTATTTTTGATGCTTATGTTTACCCAAAAAGATCCTCCAAGTAACCCAGAAAAGTGTCCACAAATGAAACCAACAATACTGGATCAGAAGTGGAAATAACCCAATACCTACAAAAAGAACTCTATCTGAAATCATATGAAAAGAAAGTATTTTCTTTTAAAAATGTTTTGCATGAGAGTTATATGGCTCCTATCTATTACAATCAGGGATATCTCCAGAGGATCTTTATTTGTAAGTAAGCTACAAAAATATTAATGATTTCTATTATATGAATTTTAAGTGGCCAAACCATCAAACAAGCTGATCTAAAGTATATATATATATATTATGAAATCAAATTACTTAAGTAATGGAGTCAATTCAAGAGTATAAACATATACGCACATAGATATTTATGCGTTTATATATACATAAGCATACACACAGTCTCAGGGAAAAAAAATTCACATTTTAGGATAAAATAGAATATCTCCTGGCATTTGAGTTCAGAGAAGGCCTTGTACTACTCATCTGGATATGGTGAGGATCACTCAGTTCCTTTCATAAGCTTCCTTGTTACTCTCGAGTGCATTTTTTACACCTCACTTCCCATCTTGCCTGGAAATTCTGGCTAAGGGCAGGCGACCTGTTTATTCATCAAACACACAAAAAATAAACAAACAAAAACATAATAACACCCCCATAATATGCTTAATCAAAGCCTTTGAGCTTGGAGTAAGTTGGCTACAAATATTACAAAGTTGTAATATGTATACACTATGTATTTATGTTACATTATTGCAGAAGGGCAATGCCATGTGTTGCTTTTTAGATAAAATAGCTTTGATATGTGATAAGGACTGAAGTATCCAAGAGTGTAGAGAAAGCCCATAGAAACAGTAAGTGAAGCAGAGCCTGGAGATATTTCAATAACAGAATGGAAAGGACATGGGGATCTTCTGGACTCAAAAAGGAAGTTAAGTAAGAAGAAGAGCAATGATGAAATGACTTCAGCACAAAGATGGCTTTTGTGTTAATATGATGAACTTGATGGAGGGGAGAAAGCAAAAGGCCATTGAAAAAGGCTTTAAAATCCTTAAAAAGTGTCTTCAAAATCGAAGCCACAAAGAAATATTTCTAAGATACATAAGCAAAGAAGTGATACATGAACTCTCACACAAAAAGAAAAAAATAACTGAATTAAAGAAATCATTTTCTGTTTATCATTAGAATATGAAAAATCTTGAAAGGAAAATGAAGTTATGAGAAG